AATTTGTGAGCTCAGGCAATCTGCTCATCTCGGCCTCCCAGAGTGCTGGGATTATAGGTGTGAGCCATCACCCCCAGCCATTATGGCAGTTTTGAAAGTATTTTCTGCCCACACGCCCCTGGCTGGTTGTGACATGTTCCAAACATACATTCATCTCCCCACAACTCCTTCTGCCCATAGGATAGAAAAACCAGTATTTAAACCTCTAGACACAGGCCCAAATGGGCTTTCAACTCAGAGTTCCCACTCTCTGCTGCCAGAGGTTTTGTTCCTCTTTCACTTATTTATCTCATTTATCTTTCAATAAAAATCTGTCCTTTCGGGCGGCACCTGTGGCTCAGTGGGTAGGGCACCAGCCCCATATATCGAGGGTGGTGGGTCCAAACCCAGTCCCAGCCAAACTGCAACAAAAAAATTGCTGGGCATTGTAGTGGGTGCCTGTAGTCCCAGCTACTTAGGAGGCTGAGGCAGGAGACTCGCTTGAGCCCAGGAGTTGGAGGTTGCTGTGAGCTGTGATGCTACAATACTCTACCCAGGGGGACAGCCTGAGGCTCTGTCTCAAAAAAAAAAAAAGTTAGACCCTTGGCTCAGCACCCATAGCACAGTGGTTATAGCACCAGCCACATACATGGAGGCTAGTGGGTTCGAACCTGGCCAGGCCAGCTAAACAACACTAACCACAACAAAAAGTAGCTGGGCATTGTGGCGGGTGCCTGTAGTCCCAGCTACTTGGGAGGCTGAGGCAAGAGAATTGCCTGAGCCCAGGAGTTGGACGTTGCTTGAGCTGAGTGATGCCACGGCACTCTACCAAGGGTGATAAAGTGAGACTCTGACTCTACAAAAAATAAATAATAAATAAATAAAATCTGTCCTTTCACTTATTTGTATGGTCAGTGGAGTCACTCCTTGAATCTCCAAGATCAAGGACTTGGCAGAGAGAAATCCCAGCTACAGTGGGGCTCCACCATATTCACTGAGGCTTTCAATGCTGCTGCCTGACCCATACCTGCTATTAAGGGAGGGTGGATGCCTAGGGAGCTCAGACTATAGGTCTCTATGCAAAAGATCATTTTTGGGAACCAAGGAAAGATCACTTTTCACACCCAGACAAAGAATGGAAATTGTTTTTTGGGGGGTATTGGAGGGGGGGGACAGAGCCACAAGCTGTTACCCTGGGTAGAGTGTCGTGGCATCACAGCTCACAACAACTTCCAACTCCTGGGCTTAAGCAATTCTCCTGCCTCTGACTCCCAAGTAGCTGGGGGGCTACAGGTGCCCACCACAATGCCCAGCTATTTTTTGGTTGCAGCCATCATTTGTTTTTTGGCAGGCCTGGGCTGGATTTGAACCCACCAGCTCAGGTGTATGTGGTTGGCACCTTAGCCACTTAAGCCACAGGCACCAAGCCAGAATGAAAATTATTCAAAGAGCAGATGGTGGCTCAGCACCCATAGCACACTGGTTACAGAGCCTGCCACATATACTGGCAGGATCGAACCCAGCCCAGGCCAGCTAAACAACAATGACAACTGCCACAAAAAAATAGCCAGGCATTGTGGTGGGTGCCTATAGTCCCAGCTACTTGGGAGGCTGAGCCAAGAGAATGGCTTAAGCCCAAGAGTTTGAGGTTGCTGTAAGCTATGACACCACAGCACTCTACCAAGGGTGACATGGCCAGATTCTGTCTCCAAAAAAATAAAAAAAAGAGCAGATGGTGACCTCTTTCCCTTAATCCTACCACTTCCCTTCTAGGATACCAATTTGTTCTGCAAAATAGAGGGGGCACTGCCTCTGACAAAGGAAGAGCACATCTACTACCCCTGTGCAATTCAGAAAAGGGAGAAATCTTCAGTGGCTCCAAAAGGCAGATGATTAGTTTACCTTGCCTAATAGGAGCAATGTGAGGAAAGGCACCACTTTTGCCTTTGAAGTATAACTGACACCAGCATTTCCTATGCACCACAAGCTGGAGCTCTGCAGGGTCAGTACTGCTCCCAAAAGCAGATGCTGGTCTTGGTGGGGAGGCTATGAAACTAGCCTTCAAGAAGTACACATGCAGCATGCATTGAGGTGAGTCAATGTGTACACCAGTGAATATCTCAGAGTGGAATATGCCAGAAGGCTTTGGGGAGGAAACTTAGGAAAATTAAGAGGTTTCAGTGTGTCCTATATCTAAGACACAGAAGGGTTTGTCTTTGTGACATCATTAGTGGTTTTGAGACTATTCTGGTAGTGGTAGTTAGTGCAGAGCTGATCATTATGGGACAGTGGATATTGTATGGTCAAGGGGTATAGGTTCTGCTGTTGCTTCTGCCACTGCTTCTTCAGCCTTCTTATCTCAGAGCCACCTGAGGCTACCAGAGAGAAATATTTCAATGTGAGGCAGGAGTGAATTATTAAACATGTTTCCCAGTAAGAATACACAGTATGTAGCCTCTAAATAGGAAACTGGGAGCTGGAAATGGCCTTGAGACACCACTGGAAAGACATGCTGCTGAACCCAATAAATTAGGAAGTTTCCAGGCCAATTTCACTTGGGAAAAACTGTGGGATGTACTTTTCTTTCAGAAACACAACATTCCCACAGATCCAACCAGAGGAAACTGGTTTAAACACAAAGATTTTGGAAGCCCCCTTAACTTCTATCCAGTCATGTGTGAGCTGAGAGCAAGTACTGTGCTAAAAGTTGTTTCATAACTATAAACTAGGTTTCAAGAAAGGACTGTTGGGCCCAAGTCTTTCTTCCCCAGTCCTTCCATTCTTCCTAAGCAGACTCTCCAAGTGGAAAAAAGAAGTTTTATATATATATATATATATATGAAGGACTTTTCATATAGATTACATTCAAGAAGTTGCTCTCCAGTGTGAGTGGTCTCATGGTTTCAAAATGAACTGGAGTGAATAAAAAATTACCCACATTGTTTAAATTCATAAAGGTTCTCTCCAGCATACATTCTCATGTGTCCTTAAAAGATTATGTGAAATGAAGGCTTTCTCATACTTTTTAAATTTCATAAGTTTTCTCTCCAGTGTCCTTTTACACAATCCTAGGAGAATGAAAGATTTTCCCACATTTTAAAAAGATTCCACTGCAGCAAGAGTCATGTATTTGAAGTGAATTAGGACAACTGAAGGCTTTTTGCATTGTTTACATTCACATAATTTCTCTCCGGTGTAAGTTCTCTCATACATTCAAAAGGAACTAGAACAACTGATAGTCTAATGACCACTATTTACATTCTTAGGGTTTCTCTTTAGTGTGAGTCCTTTCATGCAACTGAAAAGATCTTGAATAACTGAAGGCTTTCCCACATTCCTTACATTCATAGGGCTTCTCTCTAGTGTGAGATCTTTTATGTACTTGAAGGGATCTTGAAAAACTGAAGGCTTTCCCACATTCCTTACATTCATAGGGTTTCTCTCCAGTGTGAATTCTTTTGTGTACTTGAACAGAACTTGCACAAGTGAAGAATTTACCACATTCCTTACATTCATAGGGTTTCTCTCCAGTGTGAGTTCTTTCATGCCTTTGAAGATGACTGAAAAAAATGAAGGATTTACCACACTGTTTACATTCATAGGGTTTCTGTCCAGCATGAGTTCTTTCATGCAGTCGAAAGTGATTGGAATAAAGGAAGGCTTTACCACATTGTTTACATTCATAAGTTTTCTCTCCAGTATGAGTTCTTTCATGTATTTGAAAATAACTTGAACAAATGAAGGTTTTACCGCATTGTTTACATTCATAGGGTTTGTCTCCAAAATGAGTTCTTTCTTGCACTGCATAGGAATTATCAGACTTGAAGAGTTTTCCACATTCCTTAAGTTTATAAGGATGAACTCTGGTATGTGTTATCATGTGTCTTCGATGGTTTGAGTGAAAAAAGAAGGCTTTCCCACATTCTTTACATTCATAGGGTTTCTCTCCACTATGAGTTCTTTCATGACTTCGTAAGTACATAGGACAACTGAAAGCTTTGCCACATTGTTTACATTCATAAGGTTTCTCCCCAGTGTGAGTCCTTTCATGTCTTTGAAAAGGTTGGATGTGATTAAAGGCTTTTCCACATTGTTTACATTTATAGGGTTTGTCTCCAGTGTGATTTCTTTCATGGTCTCGTAAGGAACTGAGAAATTTGAATGCTTTCCCACAATCTTTACATTCATAGGGTGTCTCTCCAGTATGAATTCTTTCATGGCTTCGAAAGGAAAAGAGAAATCTGAATGCTTTCCCACATTCTTTACATTCATAGGGTTTCTCTCCAGTGTGAATTCTTTCATGGATCCGAATGCTGTGGTAACGAGTGAAGGTTTTTCCACATTCTTTACATTTATATGGCTTTTCTCCATATTCCTGATATTCATTTGCTTTCTTTTCAGTGTGAGATCTCATGTGCTCACTAAGGAATGAATGATGCATGAAGAGTTTTCCACACATGCTGCATTCACATGGTTCTATTCTAGCAGAAGTTTCCTTGTTCATAATAAGATTTGGAATCTGGCTAGTGCTTTTTATATATTGATGACCTTCTTTACTTTTACAGAGTCTCTCAATCATATGACCTCTGTAAAAAAATGAGTAGCACATTATTAATGGCTTTTTTATTAATAATTGTGTGTTTATTATTAAGTATTAGAATTACATTACTACTTCTAAGTGATTTATTTTTTACACCCTGAACAGTTATAACATTTTTCATGAAATATTATTGGTAAAAATTTTCTAAGCATGAATAAATTTGAAGCTGTGCTTATTGTTTTGCTTGCTTTTTTAAGAGACATGGTCTCACTCAGTTGTCCAGGCTAGAGTGCAGTTGCCCAATCCTAGCTTACTGCAACCTCCAACTCCTAGGCTCAAGGAATCCTTCCACTTCAGCTTCCCACCACCATACCCAGCTAATTTTTTTTCTTGGTAGAGACAGGGTCTTGCTATGTAATCCAGGCTGGTATTGAACTCTTGGCCTCAAACAATCCTCCCACCTTAACCTCCCAAAATATTGGGATTACAAGTGTGAGCCACAGTGTTCAGCCTGTTTGGTTTGGGGGGGGGGTTGGGTTTTTTTAGGGGGGGTTGTAATTTCATGCAATACTAAGATTCTCTCATGGACCACATAAATACTCTGGTGAATACAACTCACCTTAGATTTCTCCCCTGGTTTTTGTGGTTATCTTCAATGTCCTGGTCTTTCCATTTTTTTCCTAAAATGCAGAGCCAAAAAACTCATTATAAAATATAGAAAATTGTAACATTCTAGGACCAAGATTAACTGTGATCCTGTCTGCATTATTCAACAAAGTATACCCCTTCCAAATTTCAAATCTTGGAACACAGGTGATGAGCAATAAACACTTATGTCCTACTTAACTAAGCAGAGAGATGTTGTTATCCTTACCTATACAGGCCAGATTATCAAAGGTTTCACACATTACATCTCTGTAGAGTGTTTTCTGTGAAGAATTCAGCAAAGTCCACTCCTCTTGGGTGAAGTTCACAGCCACATCCTCAAAGGAGACTGAGTCCTAAAACATCCCACATATGTATACAGGAAGATGGGTGAGACTGGCAGTAATAAGGATGTATACTCAATTCATAAAGAATTCATGCACAATTCTGTGGTCTCCAAATATTTAGCGTACAACTTGGTTGTCAGAACTCTTGACTGTCCACAGTCATTTCCACATAAATGTAACTCTATCATAAACATATGGATATGACTTCTATATTTTAACTATGATCAGATGAAGCCTCATTGTTCTCTGAGGACAGACTCAAAACCACCTTAGATTCTCTAAAGAGAAACTATACAAATGAATCAATTCCTTTTGAGAAAAATATCTTTCAACCTTATTACGTACTATATAACTCAACATTTCAGGATACACAGGGTCAAATCTAGATGAGGATTTAATAAATGAATACACCCTTAAGAACTGTAAAATTGGCTCGGCGCCTGTGGCTCAAGCGGCTAAGGCACCAGCCACATACACCTAAGGTGGCGGGTTCGAATCCCCAGCCCGGGC